CACACACACACACACACACACACACACACACACACACACACACACACACGCACACACACTCACAGACACACACGCGCGCGCGCGCGCGCGCTTCAGTGAAGAGAAGGGGGAGGAGACACAGACAGCAGCACCCTGTGAGCACTGAGCAGCACACGAACAGGTGAGACAGGGAGACGAGAGAGAGCTCGATAGCGCTTGAGTACAGAGAAAAAACTACACGGTGGAAAGTGGAAAGGTGAGAAAATGGATAGGAAACGCAGTGAAATTTGGACTGATTTCAACTTAATTGATAGTTCAAAGGCAGCGTGTAGACTGTGCAAGGTTAAAATGTCCAATATCAAATATTAATTTATCATTTGTTGTTTGGTAATCAAAGCTTACTTATGTTGTTTTAATGTAAATATTTAAACACTTATAAATATGCACAATCAGAGATTGGAACTTTTTGTTGACCTTTTTTTGAGATGGGTCTTTGTTTTTGTACTTTGTAATTTATTTTTTTGTAGCACTCCATGTTGTACGCCATGTTGAGTATGTTCAGAAGAATATAAATAAAGCCATATAAATAATAAATATTTGATATACTGTATATTTTTTACATTCGTAATTCATTTTACACATAATTTTACATTATTTTTGGTATTAAACTAATTTAAGCAACAAAAAAACTGAGGAGCCATTTGGGAGCCGAAAGAGCCGGCTCTTTTTAGTGAGCCGAGCCAAAAGAACCGGCTCTCTAAAAAGAGCCGGAATTCCCATCACTAATGACGTGCGCATTCAGGTTCCTATGTTCGTCCGCACGCTGAGAAAGCCCGCGGATGACGGATTGAGATGGCGGAGAAAACGACATTTCACTCATTCAATCCCAGCCATTTTCACTGGAGCAACCCCCTCAATCCCAGTGTTTTACTGGATTTTGACTGATTTTGCAAGGCCCACAGAATATTTGGTTCTAATGCTATATAAACATGTAGCCTACCAAAATAAAGTTTGGACTCTCTTCTTTCAGTATAAAAAAAATGTGTTTCTATATTTTTCCATTCTTCAGCAATCGGCATTACAAAATGGCTAAGTTTCATGAAAATGGCGATTCCTGGGCAAAAAACGGAGCAAAAGAGCTTTTTGGAAAAGCATGCATTTCAAGTACGTGAGGCACCACTGCCACCTCCTGGTCACTTTTTTACATGATTTATTGGATTGGATTGGATACAACTTTATTGTCAAATGTGCTGTATGCAGCACAGATGAAATTTCCTCCCTCTTAAACAGAAAACAGACAAGACATCAATTCCTATTACATGTTTTTGTATTAATAAAGAGGTGAGTAGTCATTGAAGTTATGTTTATTGGAAGTTATATTTGTTGACAGAAAGAGAACACCCACCCACACACACACACACACACACACACACACACACACACACACACACACACACGCACATGTAATAATGCTAACGGTGTCAGTTTTACTTGTGGCCCATGGTATATAGCCAGAACTGAAGTATTGTGTTTCTAATGGCCATAGTATTTTATACTAATTGATATCTTCTTATTTTCTTTTCCAAGATGGCAACCGAGTAGGCAGCCGTCAGCAAGTGTGCTTCAAGAGCCTTGCGTTTTTGTTGTTTTTGTTGTTTTTGTCTTTTCTTTTGTCACATGGTCTTGTTATGTCATGTGGACCTGATGTGGATTGTTTTCAGCATTTTTGGCCACTACATTCATCAAAGAAGAATAATCTGTGCTTGATGGTCGCACCTTCTCAGCAGCACACATGTACCGGCACTGATTTTTTGATTGGGAGGAATGGCGGCGCCATTTGACTGTCGTTTCTGGACAGCCCCGGGGCGATTGTGTTTTGCGCCTGAAATGGGCAGCATTTTCACAGCCCCGCTTTGTTCAGCGGAAAGGTCGGTGCTGTTGGACAGTCTGCGGCTGGATGGATGCGTGGCTTGAGGAGCCGACGATGAGAAGAAAGGAGCGTCAGCGCAGAGCGCTGATGTGTATGTGGAACTGGGAGTCGCGGCTTGGAATTGAAGCGGATTTACTTGGGACAGCAGATGAGAGCCAATCTCTTTTTCGTTAATGGACGCTACAGCTTCTTGTTGCTTTCAAACCTAGCTTGTAGCAGACGTGTGCACATTTTCATCATGACGTCTTTGATCCACTGGTGAAAAGGACACTTCGATTCGCTCCTCTTTCATATATAACTGTTTCAAACAACAAAGTGTATGGAGGAAAAGTGGTTCAGATTGCACGACTGTCTGTGTCTTGTGTTGTGTTGTATTATTTTGTCTTATGTTACCTGTTCTTTTGATGGCGGTGCGTGCACCCGCAGCGGCTCTTGTTGTCTCGTTATCTGGTTGAGAGGGAGTAGAAATTTCATCTGTGCTGTACAGCACATTTGAAAATAAAGTTGTACTTGACTTGACTTGACTTAATAATGACCAGTAAGTTCCTCTTTGCAGTGTGAGACTCGAAAAAATACTCAGATTTTGTGGTATGCTGTATTCATGATGCCATATGAGTACAATAAAAGTGTTAAACAACATATTTTGAAAAATCTATTTATTTTATTGAATAAACCTGGAGTACACAGCTGCTGATGTATTTATGTTCATTGTTAATGCATAGTTTTCAAACATTCTGCCTTGTGTGAGCAGTCTGACAGACAGACACAGAGTTGGAGCGCCTTTGCTGTAGCTCTGCTTGAACCAATGCTGTTTTCCACAACAGTAAAGGAAAAGCAAAAAGGTGAAGAGATTTGAATTTTCAAAGAGGACCGTAGTCTCTATTCAATGTCGTGCCAGGTCTGCAGTGGTGAGTCTGTCCCCTGTGGACTTTTGTTTAGTTTTTGGTGTCCATTTGGGTGGTTTTTGTCAAGGAAAATTGGTGGCTGGCATTTGCCAGGGTTGCTTATATATGATATGAAATAAAATTTGGACAGGTGGTGGTGGCAGTAGCCCATGTGGCTAGTATGGCGGTGGACCAGGTGGCCAATATGGATATGGACCAGGAGGCCAAGGTCGTGGTGGCCAAGGTCGTTGCCCATGGTGAAAGGGAGGCCAATATGGATAATTTATTGGTGGCCCAGGAGGACCTGGTGGTCCAGGTGGTCCTGGTGGACTAGGGGGTCCTGGTGGTCCAGGTGGTCCGGTTGGTCCTGACCTGGTGGACCACCTGGTCCAGGTGGTCCTGGTGGACCATCTTGCCCTGGGGGACCATGTGGTCCGGTTAGTCCTGGTGGACCAGGTGGCCCTGGTGGCCCAGGTAGTCCTGGAGGTGATCCAGGTGGACCTGGTGGACCATGGTGATTTGAAAGACAGCTGGTTCCTGTGATAAAGAGTTGACATCTTTGTTACATGGTGACCTTTCACTTACTCTTTGTTACTTGGTCGCTGAGAGTTTGATACTTACCAAACAGCACAAGGGCAACAGTGAACACTTTGAGAATGCTCATTGTGGCTGATGATGTCCTAAAAGACAGTGAAAAGGGAGGGTAAACGTACATCGAGAGAAAGTCTATCTGGTGAACATGATGGGAGAACTGGCTGCTTGGACACACTCAGTATGGTGTGGCCCAGGTCCCATGCCATGCCACGAGACACCTGGACTGCGACTGGGAAGAAGAGTCACAACTCCCTGCCAATCTAAATGTTGTCGCCATTGGACGGAATTCTCTTCTTGACAGAAACCACTCTTTTTTGGGAAAGGATTTTTTTTGTTGACTCGCTAATTGCTCATTAATTATGCTGCCATTGACGAACATGGTGCCAGCACCAAACATGCAGTTCAAAGTCCACGGTCACACAGAGCCTTGCCGTGCAAAAGCCTTGATCTTCACAGTCCATTTGTTAACCAAGGTTTGCATTGTAGAACACATTGGACGCCCAGGATTTTGGCGGCTCCTCAGTTATTTGGAGATTGTTTGTTTCAAATTTAAAATACTTTTTTGTTGGACGATCCACCATTTATTGTGGAAAATGATTATTGGCAGTATTTCACAAAATTTTCAGGTATGTTTTGGGTGAACCACTGGACAATAAAAGGCTGATTCTACCTTTCTTGCAATTTTTGTTCTTTAGTAATCAGCAAGAAAACATCGCAAAATTTTCCAAAATTCACCCGCTTCTCACAAACCTTGGAGAAAATTTGCTTTTTGTGAAAACAAACATTCCAAGTGGAGGAGAGACTTCGGTGCTGATATTTTCACTTCAGTAACATCTGAACAGTAGTTCTATTTTATGAAGCAGGTAAACATTTCAAAATGGCTACTGAGAGCAAAATAATTTTTGAGAAACAAGCGCTGTGAATGGCACCCAAATGAAACAAAAAAATTCCTCAATGCTGCTAATAGGTTCTGTTGTTTTTTAGAAACCGAAAGTGTTATTTATCATTCTTTTAAGCTCTGTCTCATAATAGTGCTGAACACATTAAAATAGAATTCGACACTTCTTTATAATCTGTGGGACCCCAGAGGCAGCTGATGGGTATCGACTGGCTAAGCGGAATGCAGCTTCAGCGGTCGCCAAGGCAAAAACCCGAGCGTGGGAAGAGTTCGTGAGGCCATGGAAGCCGATTTCCGGACGGCTTCGAGGAAAGTCTGGTCCACCTTCCGATGTCTCAGGAGGGGGAAGCAGTGCACCATTAACACTGTGTACAGTGGGGATGGGGCGATGCTGACCTCAACTTGGGATGTTGTGAGTCGGTGGGCAAAGTACTTTGAAGACCTCCTCAACTCCAGCAACACGCCTTCCTTTGAGGAAGCAGAATCTGGGGACTCTGAAATGGGCTCTCCTGTCTCTGTGGTTGAAGTCACCGATGTGGTTAAAAAGCTCCTCAGTGGCAAAGCCCCAGGGGTGGATGAGATCAGCCTGGAGTTCCTCAAGGCTCTGGATGTTGTGGGGCTGTCCTGGTTAACATGCCTCTGCGACATCGCGTGGTCATCGGGGAGAGTGCCTCTGAATTGGCAGACCGGGGTGGTGGTCCCTCTTTTTAAAAAGGGGGACCTGAGGATGTGTTCCGACTACAGAGGAATCACACTCCTCAGCCTATTCAGGAGTGCTGGAGAGGAGGGTCTGTCGGGAAGTTGAGCCTCAGATTCAGGAGGAGCAGTGTGGTTTTCGTCCATGGAACAGTGGACCAGCTCTACACCCTTAGCAGGGTCCTCGAGGGCACGTGGGAACTTGCCAACCAGTTTCCATGTGCTTTGTGGACGTTCGACCGTGTCCCTCGGCGAGTTCTGTGGGGGGTGCTTCGCGAGTATGGGGTCCCGAATACCCTGATATGGGATCTCCGGTACCTATATCACCATTGTCAGAGTTTGGTTCGCAATGACGGCAGTAAGTCGGAATCGTTTCCAGTGAGGGTTGGACTCTGGCAAGGCTGCCGTTTGTCACCGATTCTGTTCAGAACTTTTATAGACAGAATTTCTCGACGTCGCCAAGGTATTGAGGGGGTCCGGTTTGGTAGCCTCAATATTGCCTCTCTGCTTTTTGCAGATGATGTTGTACTGTTGGATTCTTCAAGCAGGGCTCTCCAACTCTCACTGGAGCGTTTCGCAGCCAAGTGTGAAGCGGTTCGGATGAAAATCAGCACCTCCAAATCTGAAACAATGGTCCTCAGTCGGAAAAGGGTGGAGTGGCCTCTATGGGTTGGGGAGGAGATCTTACCCCAAGTGGAGGAGTTTAAGTATCTTGGGGTCTTGTTCAAGAGCGAGGGCAGAAAGGAGTGGGAGATCTACAGGTGGACTGGTGCAGCGTCTTCTGTGATGCGACTTTGTATTGGTCTGTCGTGGTGAAGAAGGAGCTGAGCCAAAAGCTGAAGCTCTCAATTTACCAGCCAATCTACATTGCAACCCTCATCTATGGTCACAAGCTATGGGTCATGACCGAAAGAGATGCCAGATACAAGCCGCCGAGATGGATTTTCTCCACAGGGTGTCCGGGCTCTCCCTTTGAGATAAGGCGAGAAGCTCGGCCATCCGGGAGGGTCTCAAAGTCAAGCCGCTTCTCCTTCACGTCGAGAGGAGCCAGATGAGGTGGGTTGGGCATCTCATTTGGATGCCTCCTGGACACCTGGTGGTGGTGAGGACGCGCTGAAGAGACTATGTCTCCCAGTTGGCCTGGGAACGCCATGGGATCCCCCGGAAAGAGCTGGAACAAGTGGCTTGAGAGAGGGACGGCTGGGCATCCCTGCTAAAGCTGTTGCCCCCGCGACCCGACTCCGGATTAATAAATCCTCACTGAACGAAGACTTAGAAACAGGAACCAGACTTCTCAAGAAATTGTGTGTGTGTGTGTGTGTGTGTGTGTGTGTGTGTGTGTGTGTGTGTGTGCGCACGCGCGTGCGTGCGTGCGTGTTTGCGTGTTTGTGCGCGCGCGCGCGCGTGTGTGTGTGTGTGTGTGTGTGTGTGTGTGTGTGTACGTGCGTGGTGTTTGTGTGTCCGGTAGTCCGTGTGTGTGACACCAAGCAATGCATTGTAATGATCAGAAAACAACATTTTTCTCGTAATACTGCTTGGAACATTCGTTTGATTTGTGACTTTTTTACTTCTATGGGAAAATTGCTGTGAAAAAAAGAATAGCAGAATAAAAGTTTTGTTTTGTTTGTTTATGAACCACCATCCATCATCTCAACAGCGTGAGTACTTTGGCCTACTCTTGTGCAGGTCATGTATCCGAAAGTAAGGGGAGACTTTTCGTCCCCCCCCCCCCGCCCCCCAAGATCTGAACTCAACTGTATTTACTTCCAGCTTGCCAAGGATTAATTGTAATGTTGCTTTTTTTGTGCAGTTGTCAGGATAATGAGGCTGACGAAATGGAGCATGTCACCACAGCAAGCTTTGTCATTGGGAGAGATTATTTTTTTTCGCACCGACTCAAAGACATTAGGATAGTCATTGATGGAACAGTTGGGTCTAAAACAAGTTTCAATGTTAGCCATTTGGGCCGAAAAAAAAACTTTGAACACCAAAATACTTTAAGTTATTTATTGGGAATATGAAGTCAGCCCCAAGTGTGACTGCTTTCAAGTCCAAGTTAAAAACTATCCTCTTATAAAGGGCTCTTATCAAGCATTTGTTTTTACTTAAATGCAGTTTTAAAAATCTTTTTCTTCCACCTTAATTTTAGTACTCTCTCTTTTATTTCTGGACTTGGTTTTAAATGTCTTCAGTTCTTTTATTTTTAAATGCTTTTACATTTTGTAATTCTGCACTGTATTAATCATTCCCCATCATTCCAAAAGTAATGAGGGCATTTTTTTTAATGCAACTTTACGGCAATTTTAAATCTTTGATCCAAATTAAAAAAAAAATGCCTCGTTCCAATTTACAAAGATGGTGAGCATAAAGGAAACACTAAATCATGTCACACACATTCATGAAATACTGTATATGAGACCACGGATGGGCAACTGATGGCCCGCAGGCGCAGCCGGCACACTCTTTTAGCGGCCTCTTAAGTAAAAACAAGAAAACAAAAAAAAAAAATACTACCTCATTAATATAACAAGTTTGAATGAGGTGACATTTGTGAAAAATGCATGACATGTATTCATACATTCATTCATTTTCCGAACCTCTTTATCCTCACCACGGTCGCGGGGGGTGCTGGAGCTTCTCCCAGCTGTCTTCAGGCAGTAGGCGGGGGACACCCTGAATCGGTTGCCAGCCACACACAGGCATACAGAGACGAACAACCATCCATGGCCACACTCACACCTAGGGACAATTTGGAGTGTTCAATCAGCCTGCAATGCATGTTTTTGGAATGTGGGAGGAAACCGGAGTACCCGGAGAAAACCCACGCAGGCCAGGGGAGAAGATGCAAACTCCTGCTGGAACTGAACCCGGTACCTCTGCACTGTGAGGTTGACGTGCTAACCACTGGACTACCGGGCTGCCTGACATGTATTCTTACACATAATTTTGGTTTGCTCTTCACCCGTTTCATGCCATCCTCGAATGGTAATTTTTTGTGCATGAGAGCCCTGTGCACTGGAATATTAAAAATAAAACTCACAGTACATGGTTCATTTTTGATTGTTCAAACGTTCTTGAAGGATGGATCTTTTACCACTTCACTGAGAAATGTATTATGAAAAATGAAATTTGTTGAGAGCATGTTTTTTTGCATGTATGCACATGTTGAGTGTGTATTTAAAATGCAGTTTTTGTCATAAGTTTGGTTTGGAGTGTACAAAGCACAACACCAAACATGCCCAACATTAACGTTGTGTGCCCTGGAAACACTTGAAGGTGCCGAGAGTACTCACCACGTACACTCAAGTTTGCTCTTGGAAACCCTCTCAGGCCTTGCGTTGTTGACAGTCGTGCTTCAGTCGCTCTTCTGTTGCCTCACAGTCGTTACCAGAGAGCTTAAATCACTTGTCCGGCCACCATTAAGGTGGGGCCCTTGTGAAGGTGGAGCACTGATTTGATTTTCTTTTGTTTTCACACAATTACAGAAGGTGGTTTTTATTCGGTCGGTATTGCCATGCAGTATTTCTTCGTCATGTTGCCAAGTTGTAATTCATTAGTTAATTGAGTCACTTTGAAGTGAATAAATTAAAGGTCACTGCCACTGGAATTTTATGTGCAGGTACGCGGAGTCTTCAATGTCTTCAAACAGAGGTTTTTTTCTTTTTTTTAAATTATCCGTCAATGAGCTGGGTGGTGTACCTGATGACGGTAACTGTGGCTTTGCAAAGAGGACACACCTGTTTGTCTCCTCTGAGTCAGTAAGTAACAATTACGATACCAAGTCACATTATAGTTGAAATAATCATGTGTCCAATTTTTTAAAAATCGAGTGATCAGCTCTTTCCAGTAAAATATGTGGCTGGAAATAAACACAGCTTTTCACTTGTTACATATTTTATTACATTGCACCCATCATGTCTGTGTGAAAATGAAAATCAGAATCATCGTTATTTGTCCTATTAAAATATACTGTACTGTACTTATAAATTGGACAATTTTGGGACATAAAGTTCAAAGTAATTTTCATTTTCCGTTTCCACAGGGTTTAACTCCAACCAACTTGGCATCGCTGGACCCAGACTAACCCCATGGGAACTGGTGCTACAAGCTTTCGGTGCAGTTGTATCACTCAAAATGTTCTTGAAATATATGCATGTAGCCATGCATAATGTTTACTGTGCTCATCCTGCTACCTTTGCATTGATAAATCCGGTGCACCACTATAATAATAATTTTCCTGATTATGTCTATGTAGTTCTGTTGTCAAAACTTATATCCTTGTTGCATGAACTTCAGATGGGTTCAAAATGAGATGTTTCCAGCCGAGGCATGAACAATGACGCAAGTTCGAAATTGTGAAATACACCAAAGGTAATGAATTGAGTCTCACCTGAAATTCGAGCTGAGGGGGGGATACTTCACAAATCTTGAGTAGGTAATTGGGCTACCCTTTGTCCCCAAAAATTTCAGCAGTCTTTTCCAGAGTTTTGTATGAAAAAAATTAAAAATTAATCAGGGGCCACTCAGATTATGGCCCGCCATTTGCACATTGCTGTTCTACAATAAGAGCTGATCATTAAAAAAAAACCCAAACAAACAAAAAAAAGAACTTTGTGACATTGTCTGGACAATTAGTCAAGGTTGAATGATGGTGTCAATTGTGACACAATTGATTTATTTAAAATGTATTTGATCCCAATGGAAACGTTTTGAAATTAAAACAAATTGGAAGTGAGGAGTGAGGTCGACTTCTGTGGTTCAACTGCATTTAAAACTGTCAATAAAAAAAAAAAAGAATGATCAAAGTGATTTTTTTTTCTTTATTGAACTCCATCGTCTTCGACCTGATGACAGCAGAATGGGGAAATAACAGTACAGAAGCATGAATCTGTGTTTTACATCGAATCTGCTTTCAGTAACCATTACGTTCGATCCTTGTGACTCTATGGCTAAATAGATATACTATCTATTTACATCTGAGTATATGCTATTAATATCATTTCATCAATTATCAAATATTAAAGGTACTGCGAGACAACCAAGCTTTGCTAAAGACAACATAATTCACTGCTGTGTATGAAATAACAACATAATGACTTGAAAGCAGGGCTGTCCAATAGAAAATAATCATTTTGCCACAATAACATTTTTCACCTTAAATTTATTAAACACACTAAAACCAATACAGGGTGAAATATGATGGGAGGCCTGTTACTCCATGTTATGGGGCTGCTTTGCTCCATACAGCAAAGGGTGGCTTGAATTTGTGCAGGCTGACATATCAAGCTTATGAAGACTAGAAGGAAATGTGTTGCCCAGTGTCAGAGAGCCGGGTCTATTTTGTGGCAAGTTTATATAGAGATCCGGGTAATTATAAAGGGTTTGCATTAATAAATATAGAAATAGTTTCACAAAGAAGTGGTACCTTTACTTACGAATGTCTCTTCATTTGAATACTGCCTCTTGTTACGAAAGAAATTTCAAGATCCGAAAGGTAAAAAATACAGTATGGGCTGATCCTTGCAGCTCCGAGTTTCCTGAACTTATGGCTGCTCTGCCATTGGCTATTACCTAGAATCTTTCTGGCATTCCATTGGCTAAGAGGGACCTCTACGGTCTGTGTCTATGTGTTTAGATAGATTTATATGTGTCTATGCAGCGTCCTCGTCATCTGCCCGTTGGGCCATGAGGTGTTCCGAGTTTTTCGTAAATGTGAATCACCCGGAAAAAGTGTTCACCAGTCCGGCGATAGCTCTCTATGCTGATGTTTGCCTTGGACATTTTCGAAGGATTGTTCAAACCCAACAAAAGCAAACGTCCTTGGATCAGTTCTTTCCAAAACGCCAGGCAAAAACCACTTCTGAGAGAGAGCATGAACTCAAGAGGGCAAAAAATAATGAGGACGAAGTTACAAGTTAAATGACCATCATTTTTATTCTTTATTCTTTGTTTTTTTACATTATGCATAACTCAAATTTATTATGCAATAATCTAATTGTATTATTTATTACATATTTTGATGCATTTTTATGCTTTCGGAAATATTTATATCAGAATTTTTTTGGGGGGTGAGGGGGGGGGGGCTTGGAACGAATTCGGGCATTTACATAGAAAGTGTGTCTCTACTTACAAAATTTTCTAGTTAAGAAGTTTCTTCCAGAACCAATTAATTTCGTAAGTAGAGGAACCATTGTAAATCTTTTTGTATTTCACAAAGAAGCATGACAAATATTAGTAAGGTCTCGCCACAAGGATGCCACAATAGGATCAAATACTATCGTTCTGGTCTTAATGTCATCTGTTCTTATATCACATTTGATGTGAGTACCTAAACTTTGGACATCCCTGCTCTAAAGTGAACAAAAGTTATTTCAGCAAAAGCAAAATGATGGGTAGAGAAGGTGTGATAGCAGAGGGTGATGTGGCTAAGGGTTAGCCATTTCATCTGAAGTCACAGAAGAAGTCAAGCTTTGCAAGGCTCCCATTTCTACAAATTAAAAAAAAGAAAAAGAATTGATTTTTGATATAGCTCATCACTTGAAGCTGTTTGTGAGAGAAGAGATCTAAATCAATATCCTAATCATCATAAATAATGGAAATTGAATCAGCACCAATCTGGACAATTTTAAGGACACCCATAGCCTGCGTAACACGTCTGTCATGTACAGTGTTTTTCACGGATTTATTTTGGAGTCTATAATAAAATCCATAAATGCCCTACCCCTCATCCAATCTGGTGGTTTACTTGTACTTCCTTCTGTAACCCTACCAAATAAACTATTTGCTAATTATCCATATCACCCACGGCACAGAATATATGAATACCTTTATATTTGAGGTATGTCAGGAAGTCAATGAGAGTGTGGACAATGTCTTCCTCCGCTTTCCTTTGGTCACCTGTGAAAATAGAGCCACAAATGACCACATTTTTGGATCAGAATCTCCAGATGATCAAAAAAATCAGCATTTTCAATTATGTATTGGGAATGAAAACTTGAGAGAATCTTGCCAGAACACCCATACATCCGTTTTCAACACGGCTTATTTTTTACAGGGTCCAGTGCTGGAGCCTATCCCAGCTGAATTCGGGCAGAAAGCGGACGACACTCTGAACTGGTCGCCAGTCACTCGTAGGGCACACATGGAGAGAAACAACCATTCACACCCACATTCACATCATCAGTGAGTGGGGAACTGATCCCACGTTGCCCACACGCAAATCAGGCGAATGTCTCAATATACCCTCAGCGACACCTTTTCAGAACATTAAAAAAAAAAAAAGTTTCAAAAATCAAACCTGTACAAGAGCAGGGCAAAAGCGGCGAGAACCTTTGCCTGAGGCTTTTGTACCTCTGCTGCTGTGACCTCAGTGCCTCAGTTTTCCAGTCCCTATCACATGACCTCTCAAGGCGTCCTTTGCCATTCAAGGTCAAGCGTGAAGTAAACTTGGCCAACCACCTATTGAGTATTATGGCTAAAACTATTTCAAGGGTACTTTTCTTACCTTTTTTAACGCAGCCCACCCAGGTTCTAAATTAGACCCATAGTAACGTCCTGAACGCCAAAAATGCTTTTGTTCACCAATCTCAGCGAGTGATGTCATTGCCGAGTCACCAGTCAGCCATCATACTGCATTGTTCATTGTCCTGTTAACCACTCTTTGCCAGTGCTTTTGAGGTATTTGGTGAAGTGCCTCGGCGCTGTGTGGCGCTGCACTGTTCACATACAGGCAAACAATTGATTGAGTGGCCAAAAGAAAAGAATATAAATGGGACAGTTTCGTTCTCACAAAGCAAATGAATTTTACGCCGGTGTTGATGAGCGTTTTTGTTACAAGCACTTTGACTACCTCAGTTTTCTCAACCGTTTTGCTTATGATAAAGGCTTTGCAAAAAGGTAGGTGTGATAATCACTAACTCTGGCTGTTGTGTATGAAAGCATTCGATTCAAAGTATGATACATGCACATGGATGTAATCCTGTAGGAAATCTTTCAAACTACTGTATTGTCCGCACTGTAAGGCACACTTATTGCATGCTAATTCAATTTTCTCAAAAGCCAAGAGCGTGCCCTATAATACGATGTGCCTGATTTCTTGGATGTAGTATTTTACATTTTCTATAAAGTGCTTAGTTACAGCTGTAGCAGTTGTGAAAGCTCTATATAAATAAAGCTGTATTGTATTGTATCGCCTTTAGCTTAGCTCCATCTGGTGGATGCATAATGCAACCTTAGCCACTATTGTAGCTTCTATTCGATGCGCCTTATAAGTGGTGCACCCTATATATGAAAACAGTTTTAAAGAGGTCATTCATTGAAGGTGCGCCTTACACTCCGAAGCGCCTTATAGTGCAGAAAATACAGCATGTTTTACAAGTGCATATTGCATCTCCTCTTAAATTAAGTTAAATTAACTCCACAGTGAATTACACTCAGTGTATTGATCTTGGTGGTGTGTCATTATATTACAATCCATGTCATACATACTGATGCATGATACTGATACATTATGCTCAAAACACCAACCTGTTTGGAAGTTATCTTCCCAGTCCATGTCTCTCTTGCCAGCAAGACCAGGCTTGTCTCCAAGTATCCTGTGTCCATCTATGCCATCTGGACAGGAGTAGAGTTGTTTGTAGTTAAGGGCAGCCAGCATGCCAAATACAGTGTCACTCACTCTTGTGCACAGCTGGGTGTGAATGTTTTGCTGGTGGCCGGAGGGGCAATAGGTGCACACTGGCAGCCACGTTTCCGTCCGTCTGCCCCAGGGTTGCTGCGGCTACACACTGTAATTTACCATGGCCAGAGCGTCAAGTGAGGGTGCATGAATAATGTATCCACTCTCAAGCATCTTCGAGTGTTCAGAAACGGGTTATTATTATTATTATCATTATTATTAATGTATTACTATTATTGTTATTATTAATTATAACAAATATAATAAATACACATTAAAACAATTTAATTGGAGTTTTATAGCCTTGTGCTGATTCTGCATCATAATCTGCAAATGAAACCTAAAATAGGCTGGATATACATTTTTTTTTTACAGTTCAAATAATTCAAATTCAATGCAAAATAAAATCATTCTTAATTCACTAAATGATTTGCTGAAATCGTACACTGTGGGTTAGTTTAAAACTTGTATTTTCTGTCCCGCTTAACCTCTTCAATGGCAGGACGGGACTGCAGTCTGTCCTGGCAGACAGACAACCTCCCCCCAGCATAGTCGCCATTCAGTTGAAGGGTGGTGGTGTTGCTTTCAGAGAGAATTTTGACCCCACACCAGCTGCATGACAAATAATTATGTGAACCTCTTTTCTACATCACTCTGATTTATGCCTACCAAACTTAGGGTCAGGATATAAATCAGGTCCAGGTCAATTTTTATTGGGTCATTGACTGTCAGAGTCAAATGTTATGAGCTATTTTGTTGTTTTTAAGTTGTCCGCGTTCTTGGCGAAGCTCTTTCTTTTCATGTTCTAATAATTTTATGTCTTTCTTGTTCTTTAGCAATAATTTAATTGTAGAGTTCGAAGTAGTTGGACATCATTTTGTAATTATAGTGCTCCCAAATTCAGGATATGATAAGATGATTTGGCATAGAACTGACATGGTTCTGTTTGTTTTGTCTCGTAGTAGGTGAGATCTGAGGGCGTCTCTTCCAGCGCCACACCTGTTCATTGTCAACATCATCAATCACCTGCCTTTAAAAGGACTGCCAGGCTGACAACTCATTGTTGGATAATTTAGCCTTTCTCATGACACTAATATCAAGTGGTGTGTTTTCTAGACGTCTAAGTTCATGCTTTGTAGCCACGTTTAGTATTTTTGATCTTATAAGTGTAGCAACGCCACTCGAGGGAAGCGCGCCTCAGCAGTCGATACAGTCAGTAGTCCACCGCTCTCTGCTTTGCGCGCGTAAGCGCGAGCACGTACGCACGCGCGCGGTTTTTGGTTTCAACCAATCAGCGCCGACGCAACTCACGTCACGGATGGAGAAGCCGGAACAACACCACAACTGGTTAGCCTAGCCTACACGACGCACAAGGTCTCACGGACACGTTTTCCCTATGATCTGTGTGCCTTGCCTTTCTTTCCCGAGAAAACATTTTCACTGTACTAACTGTCTTAGCCACTGCGCCTTTCTCGTTCCCCTAGGGCAGACATGGGCAAACTACGGCCCGCGGGCTGGATCCGGCCCGTTGGTCTTTTTAATCCGGCCCGCCGAAGGTTGGTACAGTACACAATTAAGGTTCGATGTAAATTATTGCATTCATTTCATTTGGACTTGTAATACAGGCATTTAAACGCCAGGTGGCGCAGTTACTTGAAGTCGCAGAGCACAAGGAGGGAGGGGGAGACGATACGGAAGCCCGGAGTAGCACTAACTCAAGTAAGTCGCGCTCGATACGA